TTGATAAATACGGATTGTTTTGTACTTACGCACACTCTAAATTTCATTCGTACGACAGAATTTAGAACCTTTTCTACGCACTGATGATAAATGAGGCCCCTGGTTTGTCAAACGCTGACCTTCAGACGAAGAAAGTTTCTGTCCCTGCCCTGTTCCTGTGGGCAAGACTCTGGATGTTGTCCCTAAGGCCAAAGACAACCTACAGCTGCCTCGGTCAGCCCAGACCTTACATCTCAGAAACAGATCGGTGGTCCTCCACCCTGTCTGGGCGAAGATGCAGAAGAGGCACGTCTGAAAGGAGCACCACACCTCTAAACACACCGTCAGCCATAAAGTTGGAATCATTTTTGTTTTCTAACACATTCCTCTTTTAATTTCTATTTATACACATCAGTAATCACTTCTGACCAGTTGGAATGATTACATACTGAGTCCCAGTTACCCAGGGGAAACAAGTTCTGGCTTTGGTATCTGACTGAAGAGAGGGATGCCCTGTCACCATCAACAAGCTTGTGGACAGTATGCCACGATGTCTTAACACATTGATCTGTGTGAGGGGGGGGTGGCCATACTCAACATTAGTGACTGAGTGACATCTGAAAGAGTAATATTGGACATTCTTATGCATGAAATCCTCTCAAATATGTGTTTCCTGTTACATGACCATCCATCCATCCATTATCTATATACCGCTTAATCCTCACTAAGGTCGTGGGCGGCTGGAGTCTATCCCAGTTGACTCAGGGTGAAGGCAGGAGACACACTGGACAGATCGCCAGACAACCAAACACACTCACATTCACACAGACAATTTAGAATCACCAGTTAACCTCAACATGTTTTTGGACTGTGTGGGAGCTCGGAGAGAACCCATGCTGCATAGGGAGAACATGCAAATTCCACACAGAAAAGATCCCAGGTGTCCTCACTGGGATGCAGACTGGCGGCCTTTTTGCTGTGAGGCAACAGTGCTAACCACCGATCCACCTTGCAGCCCGTTATATGACCATCGTTGAAAAATTTAAACCAAACCCTTAATCTATTTGTTCAGTACCCCCAATTTAGTTTAAGCCTGAATACACAGTTTGCAAAAGTTAAATGTGGTTTAATTTTTACTGTGAAATGTATTGTATGTGTATTGTGATATCAATGAAGCTTTGAGAGATATACACTTTATCTATCAAGAATAAATCACATTGTCACAATCATTTCATGAGAAGACATAAAAATATTTTATTCCAACTTTATGGACAGTATCTAAATTTGACCTACAGGTAAAACATTAGTTTTTCTATTTTTTGTTGTTTAAGTCAGAAATTACAGAGGAAAGTCTCACAAACACTCTGTATTAGACCTAATTACTGAAGTCATACTAAATATCTTAGCTGTGAGGAAAAGCTTT